CCTTGTAGAAGGGCTTTCAGCGAACTATCTCAGACAAATTTTCCACCATTTTAACATTTTTCCTAATAAAGTAGTTTATTTTATTGAAAAGAAAGTTCTACAAGAATCCTTCTAAACTTATTCAAAACAAAGCCAGAAAAACCATATCAAATAAACAAATAAACAAAAAAACCCATGACCATAGAAAGAGGAGCACTTCAAAACTCCTTCTAAGAAGCCAGTACAACTCTAAAATGTAAACTAATAAACACACACACACACACACTCACACACACACACACACGCACGCACACCCACAAACACATGAACCACATGACAAAACAAACAAAAATCTATCAAAAACTACATGCCAATTTCCCTGATGAACATAGATGAAAAAAATTCTTAAGAAACATGTAGTGATATTTCACTTGTACATTAATAAATAAAGCTAGCCTGAACATCAGAGAGTTAAACCCCTGGTCATCCTTACAGGACCACTCCCACAGGGTATTTAAGTGGGCTCCCAGAAGAGGAACACGAGGTCCCAGGTTTTGCATGTGCCCCCCAGGGTTTTCTGTCTTCCCTGCCATGCTCTCGGCCAACCAAGAGTGCTGCACTTAATAAAACATGGGCATTTTAATCCAGTTTGTTTTGACCTAATTGGATTTCTTTGCACCGGCCTTAGGATTTTTTCCTAACAGTAAGAGACAGTGGCTGACCATTTTGCTTTTCTGACTTTCAGGTTGAACCCTATTATCTGTCTCTGTATTTTTAAAAATTGTGCTACATAAATGTAAATACCGGTTATTTGGAAGAAAGTGACCAGCATAGAGAGTGGCACAATAAGGAGGTTTGGTTTATTTTGGAGGAAGTGTGTCACTGTGGAGGTGAGCTTTGAGGTCTCTTATGCTCAAGCCATGTCCTTGTGAATACAGGCTCCTACTGCCTGCAGATCAAGATGTAGAATTCTCAACTTCTTCTCCATGCCACCATCTTCCACCATGATGATAATGAACTGAGCCTCTGACAATTTTAAGGCAGCCCGAATTAAATGATCATGTATAAGAGTTGCCATGGTCATATTGTCTCTTTACAGCAACAGAAACCCTAAGACACTATATAAACTAATTAAGATAATAAATCATATAAATGGGCCTAAAGAAAAATTACATGATCATCTCAGTAGATGCAGAAAAAGTCTTTGACAAAACTCAAAATTCTTTCATGAGAAAAGTTGTCCAGAGAACAATATCAGAGGGCCCATACTTAAACACAATGAATGTTCTTTATAACAAACACACAGTCAACACTTTTCTAAATGGAGAAAGACCTCAAAGTTATCCTATTAAAATCATGAATAAGATATGGCTGTCCACTAGTCTCACTCCTTTGTTTTCTTTAAAATATGTTTTCTCATTTTATTTTTTATTCTATGTGTAAAGATGTTTTGCCTGTATACATGTCTGTGCACCATGTGGGTGCAGTGCCCTCAAAGGTCAGAAGAGGGTGTCAGATCTCCCTGGAACCGAACTTATAGACAATTGTGAGCTGTCATGTGTGTGCTGGGAATTAAATCCAGGTTTTCTGGAAAAACAGCTGGTGGTCTCAAATACTGAGCTACTTCTCCAGCACTCCCAAATTTCTTTTCAATATAGTGCTCAAAGCACTAGCTGGATTAATAAGAGAAGGAAATTAAATGGAAACAAATAAGAAAAGAAGTCAAATTCTCTCTATGTACACATGATGTGACATTATACATGTCTTTGCTTCACCTTAAAAAGCTCATCTCACCTGAACAGTGAATTAAGACTTTCAGCTGAGGGCCCCTTGTTCCAGGAGCTTCTTAACTGGGGTTGTACCTACTAACCCTGATACCCTTCTCCAGTCTCATGAAGAGAATGATGCTCTTGCAGTGCCGCAGGGAAAGGGTCGTGCTCTGGGACCATGAAGTTCACACATCTATGCTGGTGTACTCTACTCTGTTGTGTGAGTCTCCATTTCTTTTGAGGTGTAGCTCCTTCATATAGGTCCCCGATCTTATGTCCCACAGGGATAGGTAGCATCCTACAGTGTAGTTCAGGCGGGTCTCAAGCTCGGCTTCTTCCTGATTAAATTCACCTGTTCTGGTATTATAGGACTCTGTGCACAACCAGTTAATAATCTTATTTTTGAAGACTTAAGATTTTCATATTGTTGGATCTAAGGCATTAAGATGGGTATAGTGTTTAACAGACATAGAGATTCTGAAAAACTTCTTGGGGGCTGAGGTACATATTTCAAATAATAGCTAACAGTATCTAAGTGGCAACTGTGAACTAGGGAGGAAGGTGAGAATATTTAAAATACAATTTTGATACACAATGAAATATGAGCATGGAAGCTTGAAACTGAGTGGAATTGTTTCAATGGAACAACTTGGAAACTGGGAATATTGATGACAAGAACTGGGAGAACCATATGCTGGTAGCCTAGGAGGAACATTTTTAGGGAGAGAGATATGATCAGGAGAATATCTGCTATAATATCATCAGTGGAGTCCTCCATAAGGCCTGGGTGCAAGGGCCTTCCTGTGGGCAGCTTGATTTCATAAGAACTGCACCTGTTGGAGAGGTGGCAGTGGGAGAAAGGGTGAGCAGTGCTCTGATAATGAAAATGAGACATACTCTGTAGAATGACTTTTTTACATGTCTCAAAATAAATGATGCCAAGGTGATATCTAGTGGTGAAGGCTTTTGGCTTTGTAGTTTTATTCTGAAGGCTTATTGTAGTGAGGGAAGTATGCACTTTGAAGGGAGAGACAAGGGTTATGTGTGGACAGGACTTTCACAGAGTAACACCAGGATGAAAAAGTAGGGAGTAATTTCCCATGTCCCTGCACCTGTCCCTATGTGCTATGAGCTTGGAAAAGTTAACCTCTCCCACTAGTCCTTGAGCACTGAAGAGAGGTAGCTATTTTGGTGCTTGTGAAGAAGAAGAAGCAAGGATGCCTGCATAAGTTGAAATAAGGGAAGTTAGACTAGAGATGAGGCAAGAGCTTTCCCCATCTTTATGGTTATCTCAAGGGAAGAGACCATCTTGGAACTCTAGGAGCTGCATGATTTCAGAACCCACTCATATTTTGATTGAACTATGGGTGATATTTGGACTAGGTTTACTGTGGAAAACCATGGATTTCCAGTTTCTTCAAGGTTGAAATGCAACTTCCGTACTACAGAGCCCAGAGGGATCATCTCTAGCCTGTGACTCTTAGCATTCCTCCTTGTCTCCTCTGACTTTACATTTGAGTTGCATGTCCCGGGTCCCCATACAGGGGCAGGCTCACCTGTGAAGACCCTCATCTATGTAATGTGTACTAAAAGTCCCATTCCCAGCTGCTAGCTCTGCTTATATTAGGTTAGGAATCCAGAGATGTCAGGTTCTCATTTATCAAGTCCCTTACCTGACATCAGAGTTTTTCTCAGACTTCTTAAGTTTGAGTACAGTAGTTGTAAGGAGCGCTGGAGGGTAGTCCAATCCACGAAGGATGTGATTGATGAGCCTGGAAATGATGAAGAAAGGGTCATGGGAAGAAACAGTGGTTTTGTGATTGTCAGAGGGGCAACAGCGGGAATCAGGGTCAAGGCAGGGAAGGTAAGAGTATGCTTACCTTCATATTCTTCTCCTCAGCGTCAAGGAGGGAATGATGCTCTTACAGGTACGGCAGGGACACAGTCCTGTACTGGGACCCTGTCATTAACACACCTATGCTAATATTCTAGTACTTTGTGTTGAGTCGCCATTATTCTCTGAGCCTTGGCTTTCTCATGTGGGTCCCACAGGGGTAGGGAGCATCTTACTGTATAGTTCAGGATTGCCTTGAGGTCATATTCTTGGTGCATTAATTTCATTGGTTCTGATACATTAAGAATATGTCCAGGACCAATAGCTTTCTTATTTGTATGGACTTATGCCCATTAGACAGAAAGATTCTGAGAAACTTCTTGGGGACTCAGGTACACATTTTAAGCAATAGCTCATAGTTACTAAGTGGTATCTTAGGGAGGAAGGTGAGAGTGTTTAAAACAGTTTCATCACACAGTGAAATTTGAGCATGGAACTTTGGGAAGGAGTGGAATTGTTTTAATAGAAGAATGTGAATGATAAAAATAGTGAAAAAATGAGAGAAGGAACTTTTTGATAGTATAGGAGCAAGTTTTTGTGGGAAAAGAGACACAAACAATCTAATCTACACCACAGTATCATCCCTGGAGTCTTCCCTAAGCCCCAAGTTCAAGGGCCTTTCTTGTGTGCAGCTTGAAGATGTGAGATCTGCACATGCTGGAGAGGTGGCATCAGAACAAAGG